TTTTAAAATAAAAAAAAATGATAGCTTTGCTGGATAAAGTAGTCTTGGTTGCAGGTCCTTGCTTTTCATTACTCTGAATACTTCATGCCAATCCCTTCTGGCCTCAAGTGTATCTATTGAGAAATCAGCTGTCAGTCTTATTGGAGCTCCCTTGTAGGCAACTGACTGTTTCTCTATTGCTGCCTTTAAGATTCTCTCTTTGTCTTTAAAATTTGCCATTTTAATTACAATATGTCTTGGTATGGGACTCTTCGGGTTCATCTTGATTAGGACTCTCTGTGCTTCCTTAACTTGTGTGACTTTTTCCTTCACCAAGTTAGGGAAGTTTTCTGTCATTATTCCTTCAAACAGGTTTGCTATCCCTTAATCATTTTTTTCCTCCTCTTGGTATCCTGTGATGCAAATATTGTTATGTTTCATGTTGTCCCAAAATTCTCTTAAACCATCCTCATTCTTTCTAAGTTGTCTTTCTTTTTTTAAAAAAGATTTTATTTATTTATTTTTAAAGAGAGGGGAAGGGAGGAGGGAGAAAGAGAAGGAAAGAAATATCAATGTATGGTGCATCTCACATGCCCCTTACTGGGGATCAAGATTGATCTCCTAAGCTGGGTACTCTAGGAATACCCCTTGTGTGGGTTATGTGGGCTCTCCTGCTGTATTTGGGCCTTCATTGTTTTTGGCTCATTCATTGGTGAGTTCTCGCTTCCAGCTGGCTGACTGAGAGACTTAACGCCCACTATATCTTGTACACTGTCGTATAGGTGCTGACAGAACAAAATAAAACAACACAGAAAATAAAATCCACACAAGCAAAAAAAGAAAAAAAAACAAAACAAAACCCAGACCAGCAAAATCAATAACAATAATAAAAGTGAAAAGAGAAATAGAATATTATAGAAAAAAAATATGAGAGTACCAAGAAAGAAAAATAAAAATGATTATGAGAGGATAGAGGGAGGAGAAATAATAAGAATAAGAAATAGAAACAAGGAATTGCCACAAAAGAATAAAGAATGGAAAAAAATAAAATTTAAAAAATATAAGAAAAGGAAGGAAGAAGGCAAAATGAAGTAAGAATAGGGAAACGTTAACTATGAGATATGAAGGAAAAAAATAGAGAAAAATATGAACAAAATTGAAGAAAAAGAAAAATGATAAAAAGCTATACAAAAGAAAAAAATAACAAAAATACTGGCAATGAAAAAGAAAAAAGTAGAATTTGTCTGGCAGAGTTAAGTGCTTGCATGCTGGGTTCTCCTTCTGGATATGAATCTGATGTTGTCTGAAGCTGTCATTAGCCAGTGTCAGATGTCCACATTCAGCTCCAGGCAGCTTGTTCAAAGCTACAAGTGATCCATAGCTGTGGCTCTCTCCTTCAGGCTTGGCTGCATCTGGGATGGGCCTTGCTGCTCTGCAGGGCTGGCTTTTTTATCAGCACAGGGCCCAGGGGTGGATCAACTAATGACCTAAGGCTCCACAGGATCCGCCATTACAGCTCAGGAAGTTCAAATCCTGACTTGACCATTTTCCAGCTGTGTGGCCTACGACCCATTGTTTTTTTCTCATGTCACCATCTGAAATGGAAATAATAATACCTAATTTGAAGGTGAAGGTCAAAATGCGATATGGGTCCTGACTGATATGGTTCAATGGATTGAGTGCCGGCCTGAGAACCAAAGGGTCACCTGTTCGATTCCCAGTGTAGGGCACATGCCTGGGTTGCAGGCCAGGCCCCCAGTGGGGGACACACAAGAAACAACCACACATTGATGTTTTTCTCCCTCTCTTTCTTCCTCCCTTCTCCTCTAAAAATAAATAAAATAACTTTTTTTAAATTGGATATGGATAACATACCCAATGCAGCTTAGCATGGAGAAACACTTGAGATACATTGGTTCCTTCCCTTTTATCCCAGCATACTTCCCTCGCATCCACTCAACCACTGGTATATTTTTCGGAAACTATTGCTTTCCCCCTGTTACTCCCTAACCCCAGGTTTTAAACATGAGATGCAGAGGAGTATCCTGATAAAGAGCATAGACAAAGGTTTCTCAACCTTTTTTTTCATTATCATCCCTCAGTAAGTCTTTTTAGACACTGCAGTCTTAACCACTTCTCATGAAATTTTAACAACATGGTGCCGTCTATCTGCTCATGTTCTGTATTCATAGCTGTGCTTTTGAGGTAAAGCACAAGAACCAATATTTACACCCCCTTGGAGGCAATGTCACCACCACTGAGAATGTGCCTTGTTGACCATGAAACTTAAATGCTAAATTCAAATCCTGGCCCCGCCATGTATGGCCTTGAGCAAGCTACGTAACCTCTCCATACCTCAGTGTCCTCACCTGTAAAATGAGGATAATAGTGTTACTTGCTTCTGGGGTCATTGGGTTACATGAATTCATGAGCCTAGAGAACTAAGAACACTGCCTAGCACATGGCCCTGCTGCATAATGGTTTGCTATGGCCATTCCCAAAGCCCTCCATAGCCTGTAGCATGAAGGAATATGTAAACCTGGCACTCAAGGCACAGCCATTGTTTCACTTCCCTTTGCTGTGTCTCTCTCACATAGCTTTACTCCAACCAAGTCTCCAGTCCTCACTGCCGGGCTGGTCCCACTGTCCTCACCGTGTCTCCACCATGGCTTTTGCCTCTAAACCAGCCTAGCAGATCCTCATCCCTCCACCCAGCAGAAACCAAGCCATCGTTGGCTGTGGCTGACTCAACTGGAAGAGAAACTGAGGGTGGTAAAGAATTTGTAAACAGGAGTAAGGGAAAAAAAAAATTTCCCCCTGGCTGGCTGGCTTTTGCCCCTTTTTCCGGCATCCCATCTGCCAGCTCTGGGCAAGAGAGGTGTCCCAGAAGTTTTAGCTGTGTCACCAGGAATTGCAGGGGAGGAAAAATAATTTCCCCTCTACCCTTCTTAAAGAAGTTCTTCTTGGCTGAAACCCCATAATAATAAAAATACAGATTAAAAAGAGAAAAACAGACAGAACACTATTAACATCAATACCCCATAAATACATGGGAGATACCCAGGGAAACATGGCTTAAGACCCATGGTAACTCCTCGAGGTGGCTTAGAATTCAGGCTTAAATACCAGCTTCCTGGGGAAAAGGCAGAGGGAGGGTAAATGATTTTTAGAGAAGATGAAGGGGCCATCAGAAGACCCGAAGAGAAGTATGATAGTTTGTGACCAAGTTGTCCGGGTGTGGTATCAACTTCTAGTCTCTTCTATGACAAGAGTCGATCTTCCTGGTTGATGAAACTCCCTGGGAGGGGATTTATGACAGTTGAGTTCCTTTTGGAGGATCTGCCTTTAAGCAGGTAGGAGGGGTTCAGAGAGAGCCTCTCCCTGAATTTGCTGTTTTTATAAGGGCCTACAGCTCAAAATCATCAATATGCCAAGGTGGCATACTTTAGCGGTGGTAGGTTCTGCTACCCTTCTTCATAAGGAACAGCTTAGGTGAAGGGTGGGGCCAGAGGGGCTGGGAAAGTGAGGGATGAAGACTGGTGAGTTGGGCGTAGTCCCTGCAAACCGAAAGGTCCCGGTTCGGTCCCTGTCAGGGCACACACCTGGGCTGTGGGCCAGGTCCCCGGGTCGGGGTGTGCAAGAGGCAACGGATCAATGTTTCTCTCTCACATCGACATTGCTCTCCCTCTCTTTCTCCCTCCCTTTCCCTCTCTCTAAAAATAAATAAATAAAATCTTAGAAAAGACTGTTCGAAGGAATGGGGCAGCATGCAGAGTGAGAGGACTGGGGAGGGATGGACAGGGACCCAGGAAAGCAAAGGTGCCCAGGGCAGAGCCAGAGACGCCTTCACCGAGGCCCGGGGAGGCGGGGTGGGAGTGGGAAGGCCGCCAAGGCTGTCCCCTGCAGCTGCGGGCAAGTGAGCGGCAAGGCAAAGCCCCAGCCACTCCTCCCTTGGGCATCTCTCAGGGTGGTGATTGCAGCCTGAGGGTTGAGGTAACACCTTCTTCCGCTCTGAAGACCAAGCTTGTTCACTGCTCGCTATAAAATGCCACATTCCCCACGCCCTGAGTCCCTCTCTTATCGTGCAGCCTCCTTCGTGCGCAGGTGTCTGCCTGGCCCCACCACATCACCCTGTGGGATTGGAGAGGAAAGGGAACTGACACAAATAGGCTGCAGGCTGGGCTGTGAGTCATAAAGTCCTGCCTTTCACCAGCATCTGTGCAACAGGAAAGCCTTAGTTGTCAGCTTCAAAGGATGATAAAGTTGAATTCCAGACTCACTAGCCCAGTGAGAAGGGAGACACACTGGCTGGGAGATGCCCTGGGGGGAGCGGGCGGTGCTTAGAACAGAGTGGGAAGCTCCAAGGGGCTGGATCGTGTCAAGGCCGTGCTCCCCAGCTGGCACTTGAACTACAGTGAGCAGAGCCCTTGGGGCATTTCAGTCAGCAGTTTGGGTTCTAGAAAGAGCTCTCTGGCTTCAGGGTGGAGAACAGTCACTGGGGTAAATGACAAGAGGTATGAAGGACGCAGAGGGGTGTCAGAGGCCATACAGGTCCCGCTGGACACAGAGATGTGGGAAGCAGATCACAGAGGTGACCACTGACAGGGAGTAGGTGAGGTTTTCCAGGGAGAAGGTATGACCAGAGGAGAGAAAGGGCGTCGGCCCCATTCCAGAAAGGAGCACTCAGGGAAGTAGGAGGGGAGTCCAAGGCACTTAGACCACAGAGGAACAAAAGAAGGAAACCAGGGCAGGCTTCCCCAAACACCAGCAGGTCCCCGAGCCTGCGGCACTGCAGTCCCAGCCCACAGCTCTGCCCTGCCTGGGCCATGACAGGACTGAGAAGGAGGCAGGGTGAGGAGCCCACAGGACGCCCCTGACCTCAGGAGACCACAGGAACCAACGCTAAGGACACGTCAACAGGGAAGAGCCCAGGAAGGCTTGGGAGGGATCGTGATCATTTCATCAACGTACGCTGAGGGTCTCCCGGGGCCAGACCCCAGCTAGGCCCTGGCTTAGGGACGGACCAGGAGTAGTATTTGCCTTGAACATGCGTCAGGCAGGTAAGGCCATGGTGCTTGAGACATGCACCGTCCTCAGAACAAGTGGGCTGGGGCGGGGGCAGGAATGTGCCCTGCAGGAATCAGGTCCCCACTGGGAGCCCATCCAGCTGCAGCAGCGGAGGCAGTGAGAGAGAACGTGGAAAGCAGCCTGGCCAGCTTGCCTACGGTGCGTGTAACTTGGGGTAACTTGACAGAAGGGTGTAAGCAGCCGCTAAATGCCTGGAAGGGAAGAGGTGCGGAAAAACATAATTATTAAGCATCTCCCAGGTGTCAGGCACTCACTAGTTGCTACCTGTGCCAAGGCTTCGCAAACTCAATGCTCTTACCAATCTCCGATCTCCAGAGGACTTCGTTAAAATGCAGTCAGATTTAGTTGGTCTAGGGTGGGGCCTGAGATGCTGCGTTTCTAATAAGCTCCCAGCTGGGACCACACTGTGAGGAGAAAACAGATTAACCGTAGCTCAGTTAATCTGCACCCCAGTGCTGTCTGGTGAGTAAAATGGGCTCCCTTTTAGGCACAGGAGAACTGATGCTCCCAGGGCGTTCTCGGCTTGCCTAATGCCATGCCATTAAAGAGAGCCACCCTGTTCCCCACACTCCACCCATATTCGGGTTAAAAACACAGCCCCCAGACCATCTCTCCCTCCAGCCCCCTCTTGGTCTGCCCCCAGGCTCAGGTGGTCCAGGTCTGTGAATTCAGATCCCTCTGTGGTCAGCTGGCCTCCAGCCTGGAGCTTCTGAGCCTTACAGCATCTAAACAATCTACCTCACAGGAAGCCTGACACTATTGGTTAGCTTTGCAAATATAGATGCCCACACAGGGAGGAAAAGGGAAATGATCTCTGGCAGAGTCTGTGTGGCTCAGGGCGGCTGACTGACACGTCCAGAGGTTCCCTTCCCAAGCCCAGCCCAGGTAGGAGCAGAGGACTCGGTCAGCACCTGTGGGCAGGAGAACAGCACCAGCAGGCTCCTGGGGTGGAGCACTGAGGTCAGAAGTCAAAGTGGGGTAATGATGCTGATTTTGCTCCCCGTGCCAACAAGGGAGATCATTTACCTGAGGATGTTCCAGCCTAAATGTTCAGGGAGCTTGACGAATGGAGGGAGGGGCAATGGGTGATTAAATCATTTATGATATGATTTGGATATGATCAGAAGCATTACAATCATATTCGAATCATATCATATAGAATATGATCGGAAGCATTAGTAAGGGCATGGAGAAACGCTCATGATTTGGCATTAACTAAAAAAGAAACATCATTTAAAAGTGCATCTGAATGATATTGTAGAATGTTAACTTTTTAGAAACTGTATTGAAGTTATTTTTTTTTTAAAAAAAAGGAGTCCTTATTCTTTTAGAGACTTGCAATGAACTGTTTATGGGTGAAATGCTGTGAAGTCTGCATTTATTTTTAAACAATCCAGGAGTACGTGAGGTGGGGAAGAGAGGAAACATGGACAATGAGTCTTGGTGTTGAAGCTGGGTCGCGCGTGGGCAGGCATTCTCTCTGCCTTTAAGTATGTCTGAAAATTTTATAATAGAAGTTAAATTTTATAATAGAAATAGCACCTGCACTTTAAACATAAATATACTTCACGTGAACATATGAGGATAAAAATATGCATAAAGCTTTGATTTAAAAAGCTAAAAGCTAGCTGCGCTTGAATTTGGGAAGCTAAATGATAGGAAGTTTTGTTTTTCCCTTTTATTCCCATGCTTTTCCGTGCATCTGCATTTTTATAAAGAGCACCTATTGCATTTATAATGAAGACAACTTTAATTAATAAGTTGCTGGCACAGGTTTGATGTTTGGTGTTGCCATACCCTGGGAAAGGCACAGGGAGGACACTCAGGTTCAGAAGGTCTGTGCCTTTGGAAAGAAAGGAGTTACGAGTGGGCTCCACGAGATTCCTCCTCACTCCCAGGCTGACGACGCTCTTCTCTGCGCCCCTGGGAAGGGAGCACCTACTGTGTGTCCACCACATGCCAGCCATACCCTTGCTTGACAACTATCACTTTCCCCAGTTTGCAGGTGTAGGTCGGGGGTGGGGGGGCTGAGGGGGAGAGACAGCCAGGCTTTGGAACAAAGCTCGGGCTCTGCATTTGACCTTGCTAAGCCTCAAGCCCCGCTTTTAAAAGGGAGATCAGCCAGGAGTTGATTTGAAGCCAGATGAGGGATCCAGACTGAGTTTCTGGGAAGATTAAGGCATGGTATATAAAATTCCAACTACATTTGCTGGCCCATATTCGGTGCTCAAGAAACAATACATATTGTCATTATGGGAAATTGAGGCTCAGAGAGTTTGCACAATTCAAGATCACTGGCTGCTTTCAAGTGAGGCTGTTGCGAGGCAGGAGAGGAAAGGACATGCCGGAGCTGACCCAGTACAGGACCACCTTCCATTTCCTTCCCTACCCCTTCCCTACCCCAGCCCCAGAAGGCAGCCTATCTCACCTGGCCGGGGGAAGGGCAGCAGTGTTAGAGACCCTGGCTTCAAAGAACAGACTTCCAGGGACCTGGGCCATTAGCTGCCCCTCCCCTGCCCAGCCTCTGACCTGGGACAGAGTCCTCAGCTCCCCTGTTTTCATCAGGCACAAACGTCTCTCTCCCTTGACAATGTTTACAAGCAGCATCCTCAGTGGATGAGCTCAGCAGGGAGGGACATGCCTGCGGTCCCATAACAGGTCACAGTTATGAGCCAGGCGGCAGAGGCCAGGCCTTCGCTGACATTTCCCAGGGCTTGTCCCAATGATCTCCAGCAGCCCAGTCCGGGGATCCCGAGCGCTTGCACTCTCCTGAGTCACTGAGCCTGCCCAGGAGCCCCGGCGAAGCCTGAGGCTTCCAGCCCCATCCTGACGGGCTGCCTGCCCGCTTTGGGGGCTGAGAGCATGCAGGCTGCGCAGGGGTTGGCACTGTGGCTCTCCAGGCACAGTGGGCGCTTCAACCACCTCATCTTTAGGGCTGGTCAGAGCGCAGCTATTTTGGATTGTGAGTCTCGGTAGAAAGAAAACCTGTGTCATATCTCTTTAAATATCTTCCCGGACCCTTTATTTATTTATTTATTTATTTATTTATTTGCCTTTCCCTTAAATCTATGTGTATTGTGAAACATACACTCAAACAACAATGTGCAAGTTAACAAATTAATACAAATTGAGACATCCGGGCCAGCCCACAGCGGCCTCCGTTGGTCTCTTCCTGACCACCAGCCGCGCCTCCCAGAAGTCACCACAATCCTGACTTTTATGGTCATTACTCCGTCCTTGTTCTTATGCTTTTACCACCTAGATGTGCCTCGCTAAACAAGATGGATTATATCACGGGGACCCGGGACACCCGGCTGCCCCCTCCCGGTATATGTATGGATTCATGCAGCTGTTGGATTTTAGGTCTGTGTTTCCAAAATATTCCCATATTATAAGAGATGTAGACGCACACAGAAGGGGGTTGTTCGTGGTGGCCTCCAACTGAGAACCCCTGCTGGGCTTTGACAGCGGCTGGTGACAGCGAGCATGGAGCACTCACACAGCGGCATCCTGTGCAGCAATGAGAACGGACAGGCCCCAGCTTCAGCAACAGCATGGATGAGACCCTTCCAGAAGGGCTGAGCTAAATACACAGATAAACGCAAAACTGGTCCCTATCTGCAAGGCAGTTTGAGTGCACCTCCACCAGACACAGTTTCTATGCCCATAAGCAAGAATCATGGCGGGGCTGTCATTTCAGTTACAGCTTACGGAGTAGTCAATTAGCTCAGACAGTTAAAGGGGGAGACGGCCCCAAAGGGTGAGCTGTGTCGGACACCAGTAATTTTTTGTTGGCCTATTTCGAAGGCGTTTATAATTTCTCCCTATAGTTTCTTAGCGTGGGATTTGAGACTACCGAGCCTACCCCTCTGCCACCTCCTCCATCTTGGCTTTCTCCACATCCTACCTGGAGCCCTACACTCAGACTAAACCAGACTTCTCTGCTCTGCAGACAAGCCAGCCTCTTCCCTCCCCACCATCTTCATGTCCTCCCATTTCTCGTATATTCTATCACAGCCCCTCGGCCTAGCCTTGGTCCCGAGAGAGCCCCTGCTCCACGCTCAGGACCTCAGTGCCCTTGGTTTCACCCCCACCCCCACCCCCCTTTCCGATCTCTATCTTTGTCCACCTGGAAGACCCTTCCCCCCTCTAAGACTCAGTAAAAATAGTCCAGTGCTTGGGTTTCCCATAACTTTTCTTATATTCTGCCATGAAACAATAATAAGGTTTTATAGGGACTATACCTTAAGCCTCTCTACTTCCACGGCATTTAGCAGATTGCCTTGTGTTAGGGAAACAGAACTAAAAATAAACTCTTCTTCCATCCAATCAAAACCTCTCCCCAAAGAGAGTAGAGAAAGAAAATACTTTTATTATTGAATAAGAGTTAAGCCAGAATGGGATGTGCATCACTTGGCAACCTACTAAGAGGCTATAAAGACAGAAAAGAAAAAAAATCTCACCCTTTATACAGCCAAGCAGGTGCAACCCCTTACACACATATTCTCAAGATAAACTAGTCTTTAAGTAAGAAAACTTGACAGTCACACATAGTTCATCTTTACGGGGTAATTGGGGTCACCGTCAGAGTTAGCTAATTGGCTCCATCCAGAGAAGAACTAAGCTTCTCATATCTTTATGATCAGTTACACAACTACACCCTACTCCTAACTTCCCACGGAAGCTGGGAGGTGAGTGGGGAGGGGGCGGAGGGCACTGTCTTGTGATGTTTGCATTTCCAAGCGACTTGAGGAAGACATTCCTGAGTAACAAAGCTGACAGGAGAACCACTCACCTTTCAAAGGGACACATAACTGCATTTCAAAGAAATGGGAGATTACTTATAAGTTTTCTAAAGTACACATTCTAAGAAAAGGGAAGCAAAAGAACTCTCTTCCTTTATTTTCAACAGGGAGACATTTTTTCATGAAAATTATTTTACTTTTTATTTTTAAAAATTGTGCCGTACTTT